GATGGGGCCATTTTATTTACACACAAAGCATTCTGGGTAAATGATGTCAACTAGGTCATCGGCACGAGGCTGCTAGCGAGCTCTAATCTTGGACAATATCTGATAATTGGCTCTTTTAAATGAAACCAGAGAGCATTGACAGAGAGGAGAAAGTAGAAATGACTCAGCCTGTAACTGAAAATATTGATGGACGACAACAGAGATGCTTCATAGAAGAAGAACCTCAGCTTAGCCTGTTAGCTTTAGCGTTAGTCCCAATGCTATCACCTTATATATGTATTAGCTCAGCGCTTCACATTCTCCTCTCATCACTGAGGTCCTCATCCACATGACAGAGTGGGGAACGCAAAAATGACAGCCTGCAACAGAAAATATGGATGGAGGACCTCAGTTTAGCTTGTTTGTTGCACTAGCAACAAGCTAATAAGGCAATAGCGTCAGTGCTAGCATAAATGCTAACAGGCTAAGCTGAAGTTCTTCTTCCATGAAGCAGCTCTGTTGTCCTCCATCCATATTTTCATTTGCAGGTTGAGTCATTTCTTCTCCTCTCTGTCAACGCCCTCTGGTTTCATTTAAAAGAGCCGATCGTCAGATTTTGTCCAAGATTAACCTTCAGGGTGGACATAGCTCGCTCACACGGAGGACCTATCCACGTCATCATTTACCCAGAATGCTTTGTGTGTAAATAAAATGTCTCCATCCATGTTAAAATATATTTTTAAAAATTTACAAAAACTAAACAGCCGACAGTATTTTACAGTCTTTATTTTACAGTTAAAAATGTGTTTATCAAATAAAGTCTAATGTTACAACTAATCAGGGATCCCTTTAACATCACAACAAGGAGATTTTTTCATATCTTAGATCACTTTGTGTTTTAATTTGACACAAAACAATGTGAAGGGAAAAAACTGTTTTATTCATTCCAGCTGTTTAAATTCTTGTGTTTTCATCCAATCCTCCTTTCATGACCGGGCTTTGTTTATTTGCTTGGAGAGTCTGTGTCTGACTGAGACAGACGGACTCACTCAGGGAGCGGGGTGGGTGAGGCAGAGGGGTGGGGTTTCCATCAACACGGTGTCTGTGGAGGCACAAGGACTCTCTGACCCCCCTGTGAACCTTCAGGGGAGCTGCAGAGGCCACCGGAGAGGTCAGAGGTCAGCATTCATGCTCATCACAAACAATGTGCTGCTTTGCCAGCAGCAGAGAGAGGAGACAGTCATCACAAGCTGCTCATCTGACTGTAATCAAGTAAAACAGGCTTTTGTGTGTTATTTACTCTTTTAAAGATGTTTTTCTCAGTTTTACATCTTATACTAGAAGAGACATACATTTATATTGTTTGCATGCAACAGACATAATATAAATTCATCTAAATTCCATATTCATTGTGCTTTATACATAATACTGCCCCTCTAACGTCTGCAGAATTGCATAAAATTGTTTTTGATGCATGCACCGATCTGCAGAATGCCAATGTTATGTGGAGGTTGCAATCTATTCAGCTTTATTGCACACATTAGATGTGAATGCAATGAAACGCTACAGAATGTACAGCACAACCAGGGTGTGCAAACAGCAAAGAAACAAGCACTTTGATTCAATTTCTTTAAAAAGCACTARTGAGAAGTAATCTCAGGGGTCTACACAGAAAAACTGAACATATCCATGTCAAGTACACGTAACATAAGATATTCAAAAGTATAAAGCATTTACAAATTAACATATTTAGATCAAATTATTATAAAATTAACAAGCAACGTGCAACAAAATAATCAAAATGATTTAAAAATAAAATAAACTGTCAGACATTTTTGTAAACGTTGGTAATTTTACAGATTACAACTTCCTACGTTTCTTTTTTTACTGTATAACAAAAGGTCATCCTGATAGAGTTAAAGTTTTGCAAAACACTTCACAATACGTTTAGTGGCTTTTAAAGCACAAGTTAATATCTTATTTTTATTTTCTTAAAAAAAACTTGTTTGATGAGTCAGTGTACTTATTTCTCACATGTTACTGTWTAGACACTGTTGAACAAAGAAGTAAAAAAGCACCAATAAGTCATCCCATGGTCATGCATATGTGAAAGAATGATCCGTATATGCAGGTAGGTGGTAAATTGTTATGTCAGTACAGAGATCTGCAGAGAGAAGGGAGCAGAAACATTCATTTTGTCCTTGTGGCAACAGCATACCCATGCCCATGAGTAAAGCTTAGGTTTGCCAGAGCCTCATTTGTCATTTTTATTTGTTTTATTTGCTCTTCCAGGTTTGTTTGTGTTTTATGAATCCTTGACCTCCACTGTTTGCCTGCTGTGTTTAGTTCTTGTCAACTGCACCAGATAATCTAACTTAATCCATTTTTGCAGCTCTTTGAAAACCTCAGCTAATTTTGACTGAATTAATGAACTGATGACCAGTCCGAGCCATCTTAAAACAACTCTCATTTTAAAAATAAAGCCATTTACGTAGACTGCTGTTCWTAAACAACTGCACTAACATGGTTGGATATTTACAAGCCAGCAGCAGCCGGTTGTTGTAGCATTTATTAATAACTATTCCACAAAAACGCACTTCAAAAGATCTGAATTATCGCTTTAAGACAGATGAAAAGACAGATGAATGCCAAAGTGATGTGTTTCTTGCAGAACTACAGGAAAGTCTAGCTCAGCTTGGCATGGCCCAGTCATATGTCCCCTCTGTGTCTCCCCGAGGACCTGCAAAATGCTGAGCAGCAGGAAAGCAGCTCACCAGAACAGACAGGCCCAGCGGTGCACCCACTCCACAACTCAAAAAAATAAAAAAAYAAAAAAAGAGACACAACCCACCATCACAGCACTACTGACACATGCACGTACCAACATCTGCACATACAATGTCCCAGCTGTTTTMTGCAGTGCAAACTTCACAAATCTATTTCCCCCCAAAGATCAACTCAAATTAATAGTCTGAAAAATGCAAAAGAATTACAGCAGCTTCAAGTTTCTTGTGGGTGTTTGTGTCAGCAATTAAACCGATTTTTCATAATGTTTATTAAAAGCAGCTCAGGCTTGTGATGCTGCTCTAGACCACTAGGGGGTAAAGCTTCCCACATGAGGTGACT